CTGCTACAAGCAGATTGGCAAAGCCTCAGGTACATGGTATGCAGTCTTGACCTGGTGAATGCATTCTTTGCTATTACCTTCAGAGAAGAGGGTTAGACACCATCTGCATCTATGCAGATAAATAACAATATATGTTTATAGTTTCACCCCAGAGCTATTAACTCCTCTGTCTTCTGTCATAATACAGTCCAAAGGAATCAACATCATCTAGACATCATGAAAAATGTCACACTGGCCCATTATTTGATGCTCTCACGCTAGTCAGGGCACATGAACAAGAAGTGGCTACGTTTGGGAGGCCTTCATAAGATATGTGGATCAGAAGATAGACGAGAACCTATGAAGATTCAGGGGCCTGTCACATGGGTAATATTTTTAGGAGTTCAGTGAGAAGAGCCTGCCAAGAAACCTCATCCAAAGTGAAAGACAAGATATTACACCTTGCACGTCCTACCACAATAAAGAAAGCAACACATCTGATAGACCTCTTTGGTTCTGGAGGCAGCATATTCCACAGCTGGAAATACTGCTCTGGCCCATACACCTAGTGACATGAAAGGATTCTACCTTTGAGTGGGGCCCAGAGCAGGAAAGGCCTCTGCAGCAGGTCCAGGATTAGCTATAAGCAGCCCTGCACTCACCAGTGTTAGGGGTCTAGGTGGTGGGAAAAGACGCTGTGAAGAGCCAATGGCAAGTCCTGGTGGGAGAATCACTACCTACTCACATGGTCCCCTAAGGTTCATTTGCAAGGCCATGGCATCTGCAGGGCAGCATCATGTGCCTTCTGAAAAACAACTGTTGTGATACTGAGTCCTGGCTGAGACAGAGTACCTGAACACAAGACACCAGATGAGTATGCATCTGGAACTGCCCATCATGAGCTGAGAGTTATTACACCCACCAAGTCCTAAGGTCAGGCAGACCCAGCAGCGATTCATCCTGACTTATAAGTGTTTTAGCTGGGATCAAGCACAAGGACCCAGGAGCACAGCGAGTGGCATAAGCAGGCAGCCCAGACCCTCATAACTGCCACTGTTGCACAAGTGCCCCTCCCCAGGCTCATAAGGGACCACAGAAGAGCATACTTTATAGCCAACGGCAGATAGGGTAAAAACCCAAGCTTGGTTTATAGGTGAGTTGGTTTGGTATCTACGTTCAAGCAGAAAGTGGATAGCAGGTATTCTACAAGGAGTAGCCTTGAAAGACAGTCAGTAGAAAGTCTTTCCAAGGGGCAGAGTTTGGACAGCGCACCTGGTCGTCTATTTTGTGTGAAAGGAAACCTGGCTTAATGTTAGAATACATACAGAGTGAAAGACAGGGGTAGTTGAATGTGGAGGGACAAGGGAGTGGGCAGGAAGTGTGGAGATCTTTGTATTATATGCTAATGCTCATCAGAGAGAATCCACCATGAAAGAGCCACTAAATGTCAAGTAGACAGGATGGCTTGGCCTTCTAAAATCAGACAGCTTCAGCCATCGGCCACTCTGGTGCTAACACAGTGGACACACTAAGGAAGGTGCACTGTCAGAGGGACGGAGGCTATGCATCCACCCAGCAGACAGTATAGGCTCCCACTGATCAACGTTGTTAGTTACTGTTGCTATCAAACGTTCAACCTACCAGCAACACAGATGAACACCAAGCCCCTGCAAATAGCACCATTCTTCCAGGAGACGGAGACCAACAGCCTTCTCTGTGGCAAGTTAACTTTTTGGGGAGCCCTTCTAACCTGCCAGGACCAGTGAAATCATTATCACAGGAGAATGTATATTCTAAATAGCATCCTAACGAAATAATCTTAACCTGTAAGAAACACATTCATTTCAATTCCCAGACTCGTCACCCCAAAAAGATTATGCTAAGAGGTGTTGATCATGTTTTCCAGCAGCAATTCATACCAACATTCTAGAATGAGCTACAGCTAAAGTCTTAGGCTAATATACTCCCATCTATGAAATAATCTCCTGGGATTATTTACTCTGTGCTTTTACCAACAGTCTGTACCTGAACTTAAACTGCCTCAGCACTCAACTAACTGCCTTTGGAATGCCTCCTGTGTTTAGGGGTTGAATATTATTGAATTGCAAGCTCTGTTATCAGGTAAATGGTGGTTGATGTTATAAAAGCTTGCTAAATGCCATTATAAAATCATTATTTATGCTATAAAAATACTTTCTTCTGTTGTCATTTGGAGAAGTGACAAGTCTCATAGTTCACCTTCCTTTGTGAATTTCTAAGTAAGTGACCAAGGACTTGTACGAATGCAGGTGTTCTAAAACAATGTTTTCTTCAATACTTAGTATTCTACCTGAGCTAGGAGGAACAATGTGCCTTTCCAGCAGACAACAAGGGTAGAAAAAGCTTACAAAGTGGGTAGAGTGAGCAGAAAGCTGCCATAGCATATAAGGAGAAGGATAAGCCTTGACTACCAAGGAAAGGGAAAGGACTGGGGGAGCCGCGTGGGAGCCTAAAGCACCTCTGTCCACTGCTCTTCATTACACATTAGAAAGCACGTTTTGGAGAGGGAAGAGATTCATATGGATTGTTTTACAACACAAGTGGCTTTCCTTTTTTGGGTTAGCTTTCTCTTCACTGGTTTTTATTCTCATGTGTGTATGTTTAACAAATAAAGTCATTTGCTAATTGGGGGATTGGAGGTGGGAGCTGGAGCACAGGGAACGGATAAAGCTCTTCCCAGATTTGACGTTTGGTCAAAGCCTGATTACGGAGTCTAGGGCCTGAAGTCAGAAGATTACAGTGTCATATATCTATGTAAAGGAGCCCCTGGGGCTTTGTGCTGGGTAAGAAAATTCAGTTGTACCCCCAAGAAAAGCAGCCAGTATGAAGTTTCCTCCTCCATAAAGCTTCAGAGAAGGGACATCATGGCTCTGAGAAAGTGCTCTGAAAACTGGACCAGCGCATTACAATTGATTGTACTTTATTATAATTTATGTCTTTTGTAATCAAAAGGTCTTCAAAGTGTTCAAAACTAGATAAAACAGGAAAATATGCCCTTAAGGATGCAAATGGCAGCAACATTTACAAAATGGTGAAAATCTGACAAATGTTTACTTAAGAATATAAATTTAATTCAGAAGTGTCCTTGACAAATTGATTAATTTTTAATCTTTTAAATGCCAAAATGATAGGAAGGAAGGAAGGTGGGGAGGAAGGGACGGAGGAAGGGGAGGGGAGGGAGGGAGGGGACCCCTGAATAGATGAAAAACCTCAAAGGGATTTTTTTTTTTTGAGAGTTCGATCATGATAAGACACTGGCTCCTTTTGCTATAAGCCAAGTTAATAGCCTCAGCTAATGTTTAATGAAAATTAATTGCATGCTAGGAACTTCGAATTATATGGATTATCACAGTTAATCCACATAATAACTCTATGAGGTAGGTGTTATTTTATCCTGTTTAACAGATGAGGAAAGCCAGGTTTAAAGAGAAAAAGTAACCTGGCCCATGTCATTTTCCCAGTAAAAAGTAGAACTGAGATCTTAACTGAGAGGACACGGAATCTGACTCCAGAGTCTATGCAATCAAACATGACACTATACTGCTCCGTAAGAAGTGGAAGGGGAGAATCTCACCAGGCATTAGCCACCTCTCTACCACCTACATGAGGGTCACTCATTTCTGGAAATGAGTCTCTGAAGGCAGGGCCGCTATATACAGTTCTTCAGGTTGTGCACTGCTCAAGAGCACCATTACTAAGGAGATAGCATTCACATTGTAGATGTATTTTAATTAATATGAGAGGTTATGGATGGAGGTGAAGATCTGCAGCTCTAGCACTGGAAGCTGCTGACTAAATCCTGGGAGAGTACCACACACAGCTATGCACACAGCTACCGGCACACACAAGTGCACAATTGCCCTGTCACAGCCAAACTCCAAGCACCCCGTAGAGTTGTTTTTCTTCCTCTTCTACCGCTTTCAGCGACTCAGTTTCCACCCTCAATCTGCCTTCAAATTTGGAAAGGGAAACGCATGGAGAATACATGCTGCCATCTATGGCTACAGCAAATTACACAACAACATACCAACTGAATTTATTCTTAGGGAAGAGTTTCCCTTTCTAATTGGCCCAGAGGTGCTGTATTATCATATTTATCAGGGGTCCTAGTGAGGGTCCCTAATTACAGCTTGCAGTGACCCCACTCCTCTTGTGCTCTTCATTGCTGAATGCTTCAGCTGTACCAGCCATTTTAATGCCAGTTTCAGACCAACAGAGATTGGAAAATCACATCTTTTATAAGGAAAAAAAAAACATAAACTATTTTCCAAAGGGAAATATTGGGGTACTTTTCAAGCGTGTCATCTATTTGGGTAAGCCACGCTTCTCTATGTCCTCTTTCCATGAAGATCGTCTCGTTTACTGCATTGTGCTTTGTCAGGGACACGAATTAGTAACCACCAGCTCATGCCATTGAACTGAAGTCAGTGACCCAAGCTGCCCAAAGTGCTTCTCTATGAGAGTTGGAGGAACCAGTTCAGCTGGAGGGCACCAGCTGCCAGCCGAATGACAGGGGAATTCCTCTCCTGAATTTTGAATTTTCCCTGCCTTCCTGCCTGGGCTGTTGCATCACTTGTCTGGGAGATGCCTGAATGGGCCAATAAGCTGGGGCACCCTAAATAGTCTGGGACCCGCGACTAGAGGGGACACACGAGGAGGAAGGACATGGATCAGTGTTTTTTTTCTTGAAGCTACTGTTGCCACTTCTGGAAAAGTTTTTCAGGAATAAGTGACAGTAAGAACAACTAGGGATTAGGACTGGCTTTCTCTTATAAATAATGAATTCCAGAGAGAAGGACTTGAGTTGAATGGGAGAGCTATGCCTTGCACCCCGACCTTCTGGTGCTAGCTCAAGCTGCTTTCCAACATGTTGCCTTGACTTCTCATTCTCCAGGTTTAAAGAAAAGCAACTAGAAGACGTCCAAACACCTGCATCTCATAAGGAGAAGAAAAGTCCACCTGGATCTTATTTACGGACTGAAATGGATGCAGAAGCCACAGTGAAGTCCAGAGAACAAAAGGTGACATGAGGCTCTATCCTGGAGGTTGGGGTCTTGCCTCTGAATGTGGGGGGTGAATTGCAGCCATAGCTGTCACACATGCTCTTCAATGCCCTTCCCAGAGCAGGTGGGCTCCTGCCCAGGAGGCTAGGTAAGGATTCTGGAGTCCAGGACACAAGGGCTCTCTCTCAGCTCCCTGCTATTCTGCTCACCCCACCAGTATGCATGGTTCCATAGAAGTCCTGGGTAATTTAGAATCAAAAAACATTGGAGAAAGAAGAGACATGGAGAACATGCAGGCAAAGCTCTTATTTAGGGGAGAGAAACAGAACATTGACCAAGTTATTGTATCAGCCTGAGGCTGCTGCAGCCTCTGAGTCCTGGTACTGTGCTCTCTCCTGTATATCACACTGATGCCTTCCCTTCTTTTCTGCTGCCCAGGGGAGGTAGAGAGGAGATAGGAGTGAATTGAGGCTCAGAGGGCCAGTGGGGATCTGGGAAGTCATGCAGCAGCCTATGCTGAAGCTGAGGTGAGGTGCATGCTCTTCCCAGCAGGACAAGAGGGACAAGAAAGTCCCCTCATGTGGTCTCATCCCCTAAAACGCAGTGTGCAGTAACAGAGGCTTGTGGTCCCAGGCTACTGAATTATGGCACCCTGTCCTCTGGAGAAAGGATTTCTGAAGGTCATTGGCAGAGAGGGTGACTTGGAGACATTCCACTGAATATTATCCTTCCAGCCTCCAATCAAAGCTGATAATTCCCTGGAAACATTTTATCTCATACTCCTGCTTCCTCATTGCCCCATGGAGGCGGCTTTTCTTCCTGAAGCTCAGAGACTGTTGCACTGGTGGCTTCTGAAAAACTGGATGGTGTGATGTCGAGACTTCGGCCTCGACACGTGCTGTGTCAGCACTTAACGTTTTAGAAAAATTTGCCAGGGGGGAGCCTGGGTGCCAGCCCCAGAATCAGCCGAGACTTGGCGAATATTAATCAAATTATGAGTTAGGTGCAGGAACCCCTGGGAAAGTCTCCGTAAGAGTCCGCTGGATCTTATTTACCAACTGAGATGGATGCAGAAGGAAGCTCTGTAAGGCAGGGAAAGGTCTGAGACTGCCATCACAGTGCCCAATCTAGGGGACTTGCTGCTGGGAAGGCACAGAAGGAGGAGTAAAGAGCCTATGGATTTTTAAAGATCTGGCCACTCTTGGGGCTCAAGCTGGATAGAGCAGGCAAAGGGCTTAGTGGAGAGGGCTGGGCAGAGCCACGCTGAGGGGACCGCTCACCTGACAGGACCACCCCACGGACTCTCCACTTTTCTTCTCTCCTCTCTCTTCCCTTTTCCCTTCTTTCACCTCCTACCTTGCCTTTTCTTTCCCCCGTCTACTTCCTCTGCCTTCTTTTTTCCCCTATTTCCTGTTCCTCTTTGTGATTCCCTCCCGCACGACCTGTGTCCCAAACTGGCCAGTGGCTTTGCATGGCTTAAACGGTTTGGGGAGGGAGGGGGTTTCTGCCCACGGGCCAAACCGTTGACTGTTAGCATCTGTCCTTAACATTAATGAGGAACATATTCGAGTAGGAAGAAAAACACAATGGCTAACTTTAGTTTGCTTTTTAAAAAATCTATAGTTCCCAGAAACAGAAGAGTGGGTAGATGCAAATAGTAGATTCAATCAAAAAGCATCCACGAATACTCTCTGGGGAATACAAAAGAAGTATAATGTACAATCTCTGACTTTTTTTTTTTTTTTTTTTGAGATGAAGTCTCATTCTGTAGCCAGGTTGGAGTGCAATGGTGCGATCTTGGCTCACTGCAACCACCACCTCCCGGGTTCAAGCGATTCTCCTGCCTCAGCTTCCTGAGAAGCTGGGATTATGGGTGCCTGTCACCATGCCTAGCTAATTTTTGTATTTTTAGTAGAGACAGGGCTTCACACTGTTGGTCGGGCTGGTCTCGAACTCCTGACCTTGTGATCCATCCACCAGGGCTTCCCAAAGTGCTGGGATTACAGGAGTGAGCCACAGCACCTGGCCACAATCTTTGTCTTTTTAATCAGCAAGCAGTCAAAGACCATTGAGTAGTGATCAGTATAGTGTCCACTACAAGAGAGGAGAGTTACTGTTCACAATAGCTGTGCACGGCCCTCCTACAATGTGCTAGATCCTGTTTGAGAGCCTGGAGGTAGAGGGGTGAAACACAAAGCCATCCCCTCTGGAAAATCCCTATGCCAGTGGGAGAGAACAGAGTGGAGCGAAGGTCAGCATGAATGTGGGGACAGAGAGGACCTTCTAGAAGTTGTGGAGAAGAAACAGAACAGCACCCTAGTGCAGAGAGCTACTTGGCCTGAGATTTAATTTTTAACTCCTTGTTACTGACCAGAGGCACACTAACAGTGAAACAGAAACCTTCCCTTGCAAAAAATCAACTCCCCTTCTGCAAACAGGAAACAGTGAGGAGAGGAGCAGAAGCTCACTACTGCAGGCTCATGGCCGGCACTTTACCACAATCTCACTTAAATTGTATAACAACGCCATGCAGATTCCGTCATTCCCCTGGAGAGGAAACAAATCCTTGAGCCTCACTTTCCAAGGTCCCACAGTTCCAGCTAGAGTTTGGAGTTCAAACGTGGTCTTCCCACTGCACGGTGCTCCTCACAAACCCAGAGCTCCAGGCTGGCAAGTGGGTGCCTGGGCTAGAATCCTACAGAGGGAGATTCACCTCTTCTGAACACAGATCCCTCAAGGGTAAGCGACATTTTAACCTTGTGGACATGACCCAAAGGTGCATGCTTAGGAGGGTGAGGATAAAGTCATGCTTTCTCAGGGAGGGAAGTGCTTGTTTTACTCTCAGATATCTGCAACCCAGCTCCTGTACCAAGCAAACCAACATCCCAAAGTGAGAAGATGCTTGTTCTCTCAAGTTCCGTCACCTCTCACCCAGCTTCTCTCAGGCCTCATTTCATTTAAGTGTTTTTTGCAGGTCACCAGCAGGAGGGCAGGATGGAAAATGTCCTTCTTCCTTGTACTGTGCCTGCTACAAGGTGAGTTCCATACCCAGCCCAGATTCAGGGCTTGCAAAACCAGACCTGAGTCTTTCAGGCTGCAGAGATTCCTAGCAGGCACTACAGCGACATTCAACACAGTTTGGGCATATCTACAGCTTCTTTCCTGGGATCCAAGGTCATGCAGTGGACCCAGAGAGTGGTCAGATGTGGGCCCAGGAGGAATGAGGGTTGTGGGGGCCCACATGAGAGAGCAGAAGCTTGCCTTGAGCAGAAGCTTGTCTTGAATAGTCTCTGTCTTGATATTCCCGTTCTCCCTACTCTTTTGCATTTAACTGATGACTAAAAGTCAGCTGCATTTTCAAGACCAGGGTTCCAGGGCATGCAAAGGGCAGAAGGAGGACTGTTTCCTTAGCACTCATTCTATAAACACTGAAGTGCCAGACCCAGCACTGGGTACATAAAGATGAAGACCCTGCTCTGCTCTGAGTTCAAAGAAACTACATAGGCAAATAAATAATTATATTCATTCATTTACTTATTTATTCAACACACATTTATGAAGAGTTCAACATGTGCTAGACACTGGGGACAAGAAAAATGAAAGGCAGGAGCCCTGTCCTAAAGGCCCTCGCCTTTAAAAGGGTGGTATATGGCAGAGCTGGCCAGGTACAAGCCAGGCTCAGATGACAAGTGGCCCTGTCTTCATGCTGGAGTAGCTGGATTTCATTCTGATAGTAATAGGGAGCCATTGAGGAATACAGTGAGTATACGCCAAGAGTACCCAGTACCTAGAAACCAGTCCCAAGTAGATGCTTAATAAATAGTGACTGAATAAATTAATGAAGGAATGGAAATTCTATGATAATACCAAAAAAAGGTTTGACAACTGGCTTAAAAACAAATCAAAGTTTCAACGAATCAAATGCAGCCGATATTTGAGTAAGCACTCTGCATGCTAAAATCACACCACCTCTTTAATCTCCTGCTCTCCCTTGTAAAATTTTTTGTAAGAGCAGGATTCCCCTGCCCCAAATGACAACTGAGGCAGGGCTATGCCTTTTTTGCTAAGTAATGGTCCTAAATTAATTGCCTTAAGTCTCAAATATTATAATTGATCATTTTAAGTTTCCAGTTAAATACTTTGGTCAGCACTTTAATCTTCATTTAAAGGTATACTCCCTTGTGCCCTCTCAGGCCTGCAGTCCAGGAAGAGGGTGTGGTTGCTGCTTTCCCTCTTCCCCACCCCTCTTTCCTTTCCTTCTAGGCAGCTACTGCCTGAGACCCCAGCAGGGTGGTAGCAGTGGGAGGGAGGAGCTGAAGGCGGGCAGGGAGCTCTTACTTGATGGACGGCCTGGAGTTCTCTGGTCTGGCAGGGGTTTGGAGCTGGCTGTTTGCTTCTTCATCTGTGGATGCCTTTGTGGACAAATGGATGGCTGTTGATGACCCATCTCCTCCCTTTGCTGCAGGTTCTTCTTTCACCCTTCCACAAAAAAGACCCCATCTCAGATGGCCGTGGGAGGCCTCTGTCCCCTCCAGGACCCATCTCCAGGCCATGGGAACACTCATGCCTTCTTCACCCCTCTGCTGGCGGGAGGGGAGCTCCTTTGCAGGTACAACCCCTACCCTTCCTTTGTCCGACCACAAACCTCAGACCTCTCAGGCTCTCTCAGACCAAGTCAGGCTCCTCACAGCTATAGGCAGTCCTAGCCTCTCGTAATAGACACCATAGTGATAGACAACTAACTGCTGAGTAACAGTGAGGGATTGAGAGCTGGGGCACCCACCTCCATGGATGGGCAGAGAATTGGCATCAGGGCCCTCAGGTGAGCACACATTGACTCTAAAATGCTGGCCTGGTCTTGAATTCCCACAGGTAGTTAATATACAATTTCCCAATGTGTAATTATTATGTGTAACAAAGAGCTACCAATCAGTGATCTATCAAATGAATCCTTAAGGTGTTGGTTCTTAACTTTGATATTAATAAAAACTGATGTGCATTGCAAGGGTTGATTAAGGGTTCTTAATTAGCTTTCTGCTATGAAGTCACATCACCCCATCCTGCTGATTAATGGAACTGTGCCGCTCTCAAATGTGCCACATGTAGATCAGGAGAATTCCTGAAATCTGGGACATGAACACGTTATCAGGGCATCATCACTGATGTCCTGAAATGGCCCCTGTTTGTAATTGTGAATATTGCAAATATTCACAATTTGGTAAATTTAAATGGTCATTTAACTTTCCTGTTAGTGGCATGGTTTGGGGTGTGTTGTTTAATTAAACTTACAGTGAGTATCAGTACAGCCATAACATTTGCAACTTCTACTCTTCATGTAATTAGACCTGAATGCACACATAATAGGCAGCAAGGTAGATTTCCCAGGCCAGTGCAGTCTCACAGGACCCCATACTCAGAAGGTACTTGGCTTAATGCTCTGCCGTTGACATCTTGAAATTCTTGAAAACTTTTGAACAAGAAGTCCTGCACTTTCATTTTGCACTGGCACCCACAAACTATTTAACTGTTCCTGGCAATAAGATTATATTAAGCCATTTTTAAGGTGCTATAAAGGAATACCTGAGTCTGGGTTACTTGCAAAGGAAAGAAGTTTAATTTTGCTCATGGTTCTGCGGGCTGTACAGGAAACATGGTGCCGGTATCTGCTTGGATTCTGCTGAGGCTTTAGGGAGCATTTGCTCATGGGGGAGGAAAACAGGAGCAGCACAGCACATGACAAGAGGGGGAGGAAAAGAAGGGGTGGAGGGAGGCCCCAGATCTCATGTGAACTAATTGAGAAATAACTTAATTAGCCTCGAGGGTGTGGTCCTAACTCATTCATGAGGGGTCCATCTCCACGACCCAATCGTCTCCCACCAAGCATGCCCCATCCTCCATGACAGACTTCAAGCACTGCTAGGATAAAGGGAAGGGTTTCATTTGGGCAAGAGTTTGGAGTTGTACTCTTTCACTGTACCAGGCTAGATGTATAATTTTAGACTAGGTGGGGCTTTTATTATCCAAGAGAGATTATGAAAGCTACTATACATGAGATGATGCCTCAGATTTCATCGAGGAGCAGAGAAGTCCATGGAGAGGGCATGAAGAGGCAGTGGGAGAAAGAATAAACTGCTTCTGCTTACACCCCATCACATTTAAGTCATCCAGGAAGCTGGCCATATATGTGGTTCAACTACAAATTGTCCTTATGCCTGTTGCAAGCAGATACATCCACAGGACTGCTCATCTGTGCTTATATGGTGGTACTTGGTTGCTTCTGTTTCTATGGAAAAGTGACTAGTGTGAAAAATTTTGCAACCACTGGTCCAGATAGGTACCCACCAAGCAGAACAAGATTCTTGTGTTTCAGGGCCCCTGCTCTTTTGCAGATGAAATGTACATTGATACCTTCTTACTGTTTAGCATCTCTCTTTTACAATCCACGCAAACCAGAGCCCTTCCATCAGGGAACCATCACTGTTGTCCTGAAAGGGTTCTTGTTTATAATTGTGAATATTTTTGTCTTTTAATGATAAATTACCAGCTAATGTTATCATTGGTGGCGTGATTTGGGCTGCGTTGTCTAAATCTACAGCGAGGAGTGATTGAGTGAGTGAGTGTCAGATGTGGCCTCAGCCCTCTTGCATGTGCTTAGATGGCATCTTTTTAAGCATCTGCATTGGAGCACAGGGGCACCCAGGCTCTGGATGCACCAGGATGGCACAGGGTAAGTGTTAGCTAAATAGTGGGTAAGATTATGATTACATTTTCATCTTCCATACCTTGGGGCAATGTCTGCTTTCCCAGTGGCTGAACTCTGCCATTTCTATATTGATTCTCCTCCATGTTCACAGTGGCATTTTCTGATCTGACCCCTAATTCTGGCAGAGTTCAGAACTTGTGACTCCCCAAACAGTGACTATGCTCACCACTCCCTCTCTTTTGACTTCCTTCTCTGTCTGCAGCTACAAATGTGTTGAAGGGCCCAAGGCTGGTGTCTGGGGATCCTGGAGGAGCTGTCACCATCCAGTGTCATTATGCCCCCTCATCTGTCAACAGGCACCAGAGGAAGTACTGGTGCCGTCTGGGGCCCTCAAGATGGATCTGCCAGACCATTGTGTCCACCAACCACTATATTCACCATCGCTATCGTGACCGCGTGGCCCTCACAGACTTTCCGCAGAGGGGCTTGTTTGTGGTGAGGCTGTCCCAGCTGTCCCCGGAGGACATCGGATGCTACCTCTGCGGCATTGGAGATGAAAACAACCTGCTGTTCTTTAGCATGAATCTGACCGTCTCAGCAGGTATGAGCTTGTGGCTGCTGGGCCAAGCTTGATGCTTGAAGGAGAAAGTGAGAGAGAAGGCTCAGAACCCTAAAAGGGCTTGAAAGATTAGGGGAGTGATGATGAGAAGCTGGGGCAAGGCAAAGACTTTAAGAAATAGGCTTTCATTTCAGAAAAAGGCTGCCTTCAACAGAAAGGGAGATATTAGGAAAAATTTCCCCAGAGAACACTTGTGTGCTTTCCCACCCGATTCCCCCAAATGTCATGAAATATATATTTGGTGATGGTTCCAAGAGTGGGATAATGTGGCTTCTTAGGATCCTGATAGCTCCGTGTTCAGACATGCAGAGATGCGACAGCACTGCAGAGTGTGTGACAGGTGGGACGGAAGAATTGCAACTGGGCTTGCCCTCACACAGATGCTTGCTGAGCCCCTCAGCAGACACCTGCCAGCTCCCAGGCCTAGTCCCTCTGCTGCAGGTTCTGGTTGTTGATCCCAAGTCAGGTACTCAGAGCAAAGGAAGGGCACCCAGGCTGTGAAAGGCCACTCGGCAGAGGAGACAGCACGACAGGAGCTATCCCGAGAGCAAGTTAGTTCTACTAGTTGCTGCTCTCCGCCACCTTTTACAACGGACTGTTCTGCTGGGACTGGAGTGTTTCTTTTATCTCTTTTGAAGAGCAGTATCTGTTGGGCTGTGGGTCTCTGGAGAATGCAGCGTAAGGATCCAAGACAGCTGGATAGAAAAGACGTGCACCTGGGAGAAGGAAATAGGAATGTAACATGTCAGTGTCTGCCACAGACTAGAGAATGTTTGCCACAACTGGAGAATAAAACATTTCCCAATTTTTTATTTTATCCAACCTATTAGCCAAAGACTGTATCTCTCAGTGAGGTTGCATTCCATATTTTAAATCTGCTGTCCTTTGCCAAATCCAATGGATGGCCTGCCAGCCTTCCCATGTGGCCTCCCTCTGCTGTCCACACAGGTCCCTCCAGCAGCCTCCCCACAGCCACTCCAGCTGCTGGGGAGCTCCCCATGAGATCCTATGGAACAGCGTCTCCAGTGGCCAACAGGTGGACCCCAGGAACAACCCAGACCTTAGGACAGGCGACAGCGTGGGACACAGTTGCTTCAACTCTAGGAACCAGCATGACCAGAGCTTCAGCTGAGGGAAGACAAACCTCAGGAGCAACCAGGCCAGCAGCTCCAGGGACAGGCAGCCGGGCGGAGGGTTCTCCCAAAGCACCAGCTCCCATTCCAGAGAGTCCAGCTTCAGAAAGCAGAAGCAGAATGTTCAATACAACGGAAGGTGTTTGGGGCGGCACCAGAAGCTCAGTGACAAACAAGGCTAGAGCCAGCAAAGATGGGAGGGAGATGACAACCACCAAGGTCGATAGGCCAAGGGAGGACACAGAGAGGGTCAGGATAGCTCTTGAAGCAGCCAAAAAGGCCCTAGGAACCATTAGTCCACCAGCTCCGGTCTCAGAAACTTTGGCTTGGGAAATCCTCCCACAATGTTGCTTAGAAACCAGTGTTTCTAAGCAACAATCTCTGGGCCCCATTGGAAAAACAACTCCAGCTGCAGGCGTGTGGACCTTGGGAACCACCAACATAGAGGCAGCATCCGGGGAAGGAAGCGTTGCAGGGGACCTAGATGCTGCCACTGGAGACAGAGGTTCCCAAGCAACGCCGAGCCAGGCCCTGGCAGTAGGACCCTGGAAGCCCCCTGGCAAGGAGTCTTCTGTGAAGAGGTAACCCCCAGGCACCTTCTCCGGGTCGGGGGCCCCATATCTGCCTCATCCCTGGCATGTGAGGGAGGCCCCTCTCCCCCTGCTCACTTCTCTCCCTTTGTACCCATAAGACAGTGACATACGCATCAGAGGCCCTCCCTCACTCAAAGGGTCTTGCTGTGAGAACATTCCCTGAGTATCTCCATGTGGTTTTCAAGTGAAATCTAAATGATAGAAAGATAATATTTAGGCTAGAAGCTTCCTCAGGACTTTCTGGTTTTAAAGATGAAGAATAGGAGCTCTAGAGAGAGGGGGTGATGCACTGAAAACACAAGGAAAGGCTGTGCCAGGGCCCAGTGCTGAGGCTGGAGTCCCTGGCTCCCACCCAGTCCTCTTCTCACTGGGAGGCATCATGGGGTCCACACACAGATGGGTGGAAGAGAGAAAAAGATTCAGGCTTGAAAGCCTGAAGACAGAGATTCTAGTCCCAGCTCTGCCACTCATTAGCCATGGAAAGCAGGGCTACCCACTTGCTTTGGCCTCAGCTTCCTCACCTGTAAAAGGAGGCCATGGGCAAATGGTCTTTAATCTTCTGCCCAGCTCCAAATCCTCTCTCCTGTGCTCTTTCCATCCTCCCCACTTCAGTGCTTCTTCAGAAGATGAAAGCAACTCTTGGACACTGGCTCCCGTCTCTACCTTGCTGGTCTTGTTTATGCTTATGGCTCTCGTTCTATTGCAAAGGAAGCTCTGGAGAAGGAGGACCTGTGAGTTGAGTAGCCCCAAGGCTAGAGAGAGAAGTTCTGGTTCCCACCTGATACCCTCAGGGCTGGGTAGGGATAGAGTCCTGCCAGGACTTTTCAATGCAAAAGAGCTAAATTCTAGGCCGAGCCATTTAACCATTCTCGGCCTCAGTTTCTTTTCTTTTCTTTATCTTCTTCTTTTTTCTTTTCTTTTTTTGAGACAGAGTCTTCTCTGTTCCCCAAGCTGGAGTGCAGTGGTGTGATCTCGGCTCACTGCAACCTCCGCCTCCCAGGTTCAAGCAATTCTCCTGCCTTAGCCTCCCAAGTAGCTGGGGACTACAGGTGTGCGCCACCATGCCTTGCTAATTTTTGTATTTTTAATAGAGACGGGTTTCCACCATGTTGGCCAGAATGATCTCAAACTCCTGACGTCAGGTGATCCTTGGCTTCCCAAAGTGCTGGGATTATAGGCATGAGCCACCTCACCCAACCTGCCTTGGTTTTTAATCAATAAAATGGGAATGCATCTCTGTACTTATGTGTCAATGGCATTCCAGAGCATAAGAAGAAGCTGCTGTGATGCCCATGTTAACCATAAGCCACATAGGCAACCTTCGCAGCAGACAGCAGGAGTTCAGGACCCAGACTTGTGATCAAACCTCACATTTGCCCCCTTCTGCATGGCCCTGCTGAAATTCTCTGACAGTAATGTGCCCAGGTTTAAATACTCTTAAAGTGAGAGCTCTGTGATATGTAGACCTAGTAAAGAAAGGGTTAGATTTTTCTGGCAGCTAGTGGAGGAGGCTAAGGTTCTCAGACCCAGGCCCTGAAGCCCAGGTCCTGTCAGGGCTAGACTGGCTTAGCCTAGCCAACAAGGACTCCATTGCCCCTGTGTCAGAAAGTTCTTGAAAACTTGCAGTGGGTGGGAGTGGCTCTTAGGAAATCAAAGTCAGTGCTGTCCTGACCCAGAATCCTCACAGTCTACTCTGTATCCCTGCAGCTCAGGAGGCAGAAAGGGTCACCCTGATTCAGATGACACGTGTTCTGGAGGTGAACCTCCAACCAGACCAGCTGCCCCACATGGAAAGAAAGATGCTTCAGGATGACTCTCTTCCCGCTGGGACCAGCCTGACTGCCCCAGAGAGGAATCCAGGACCCTGAGGAATGGAAAGATGAACTGCTCAGTCATCGTGGAAGGAGGACCGAGATCAAAGGCCATCAGGACCATTTCCATCATCCTTTTCAGGAAAGCCTCTTTCCGTCATCCTTCCTCCACCTTTCCGCAGCTGGGGCTCTATCCAAGGAAGAAAGGCTGGCCATCCTTGGGCGCAAGAAAGTCAAGCATTGTCCATGTCCAAGGTAACAATCTGACTCAAAGGAGACTTCAAGAAAGGTGTATGAAACACTGGAAGAGGTCACCAAGGAGAAGCGTGAAATTTCCATTCCTGAATGTTTGAAAATAGAAGGGGCTCCCAATCAGTGTGGAAAGTGACTAATCCTCTGTCATCACTCCTAGCCCTTGCTGGGGGCCCCTTTTCTGACTACTGTTAACACTCACATTTAATTAAATTTAAGTGTACCAGACTTGTCTTCTCATGTAGATTCTAAGCTCCTTTAGGGCAGTAATTGTGTTTTATTCATCTCATAATATCCCCCAGAGAGCTTCCAACTCTTAGGACCCCAGTAAATACTTGTGGCTGATTGACTGACTTGGGGGCTCAATGGCCTTTGGGCACTCTGCCCATGCAAGAGCTCTGGGTCCCCCTGGGCTTCTGCCCCTCCTTTTGGGAATCCTCTAGATGACCCCACAGGCAGGCAGTTTCCACACCGAGACCGAAAGAGCAAACAGCCTTTCCTCATGTCATCCCTCCCCATTTAGACCCAGGCTCATTGTGCCATAGACCTTTTGACCCAGCCAAGGTTTTCTGGGATTTTCCTATATTCATGGAGGAGCCGGGTATTTTCAGTAGATTCTTGCTTTCTCTATAAAGCCCCTCTTGTTCAGCCGCTTATAAATCATCGATATGGAGGACTGTTGGTGAAGCTGGAAGATGGTTTTGGGGGGTGAGGTGGGAGACAAAAGAGAAGAACTTTATGTGGATTCTGCCCTGTAACTATGTCTTCTCATGCCTGTCAGGGAGCTTACGCTCCACACTCCGCCCCGCTGTCTTTGCAGGAATCTCACCCACTCTTTTCTTTTGCCAGATCCACTGGCAAGCTATCTGGGCTCCATTGTTGCATAGAGCAGCCTGAGCAGTAGAGGCAGAAAGGAAAGATAGGCTCCAATATCCAGATGAGAATTGCCAGGTAGACATTTCCAGAAAGCTCCGCCCTGCCTTCTAAACTGTCAGCAGCCCAGAAATCCTTCAGTCATACCTCCGCATACCTGTTTCTGAACTTGGACACCGTACCAAGAAAATCAAGGAGATTTCTTGTAGGTTTCATGGCCTGTGAGAGGAACCTGCTGTTGTGGATAAGGAGGAAAGTGGTACACATCTAACCACATGGAATCACAGAATCTCAGAGCTAACAGATCTTTAGAGACTAACTAGTCTAAAACCCTCAGTCTAGAAGCAAGGGACATGAGGCCCAGCAGGGTTAAGGGAACAGGTAGGGCTAAAGTCACCAGGCTAACCCAGTTAGTTATAGCACTGTGAGGAGCCACAAAGAGAACTTGTGACCTTGGTTTGGGGCCTTTTTCACTTCACCATTGCTGAGCAATGTACCAAAGCAAAACTCATTGTCAAAAATCAAGGATACCACAATCATCCCTCGAGACTATTTTCCAGTTCACTTGCTCAGTGACGTGCCCAAAAAAATCCTGTAACTGAGATAGGACAGACACCATGGACCCCCTTCAACCAGTGAGGACGCAGGCCAGGCCAGGTGTATGCTTTAGCCGAGGCCGCTCGCAGCGGCCACCTGCACGGCAGTTCAGGGTTGCCGGACATTGCTTGGTTTTATGGTCTAGGTATCCGGTCAAGCTCTATCCTGTGTAAAGCTCTAAAGGCTCGCTTATTTCTCTCTCTCTCTCTCTCTCTCTCTCTCTCTCTCTCTCTCTCTCTCTTTCTCTTAGGCTCGTGCATAGACGGTTTCATGATCATTTCCAGGAATTGGTTTTCATTTGTGGCAGGGATGCGCCCAGGACCCAGAATATTTCTAATGCTAGATTCTCAGTATGTGAAAAGACATTCTGAGGAAAAGGAGGTTTGGTAGATTAATGAAGTTTTGGAGATGCTGAGAAACAACAAACATTCTTCTAGCAGGATCTTTCGGAGCCATTACTATGTGAAGGTGGATTGTGAAGCACCGGGGGTTTTCACACCTCGGGGTGGGGACATTCTCTGTGTTTCTCAGCTGTGTTGGACTATTGTGTTTCAGTGAAGCAGTCTCTCAGGCTGGAGTGCCTCACATCACTCTTTGTTTGGGGAAGCCTGATGCACTAAACCAGAGGTTGGCCAACTCTTCGGTAAAGGGCCAGATGGTAAATATTTTAGGCTTTGCAGGTCATACAGTCTCTGCGGCAATGACTCGGTTCTGCCATTGCAGCACAAAAGCAGCCAGGTAGTCCAGAAACACATGACCTTGGCTGTGTTCCAATAAAATTTTATTTCCAAAAACAGGAGGTAGGCTGGATTTGGCCCTTGAGCCAGAATCTGCCAGTCCCTGCACTAAGCCATGAAACCACACAGGACTCCCTTGTTCCCGCTCAGATCTGGAGATCAGATCCTATTCTTCCTCAAGAGCTTCCCTGATCACCTTTCACCAGGACCACTCCTTCCTCCAAATGGCTTCAATACTTTCACTGGGAATTCAGCAGCTAGAATGTTCTATCTGACTACCCCATCTTGGGGGAAGGAGAGAGGAGAGCAACCAGCCCAGCAAGGGTGTTGGCCACGAGGCTAGAACCAGGAACGTTTCCAGCAGTGAGGCCGTTATAGGGAAAGCTGAGCTCCACCAGTGGTGGTGCTGGTAGGAGTTCAAAGGGCCAGAGCAGAGCCAGATTAGAGTCCCAGGGCCAAGAGATTGGAGAGGGCAGAGATAAGATCCGAGAAAGAACTTTCAGGGAAGGGAGTGGGGAAGCCCCGACTGTTTACAGCTCTCCTTTATAGGCTAACTGATGCACGGAGTAGGCAGGAGGGTTGATTTAAAGGGCCAGAGGCCAAACCAGCAGAGAGGCTCTCCCCCACCAACTGGTATTGTCAGTGCTCTTGTGTTTCATCTTATATCGCCAGCTAGCATGATGCCTATGCCCCTGAGGTGAGGGGCAGGCAAACATCTACCTCTGGGCCAGAATCAGGGAAACCTGGGGATTTCTAATCTAGGATTAGAATCTAATTGAGGATGCAGGGAGGCCATTGATTTTCACAAGATCAAGCAGCTTCTCAGGTTAGAGCTCAATGCTGCAGTTCTACTTACCCTTCCACTTACCTGCTTGTTAGCGTGTCTCTGCATAGCAGGGACTATCCTAGGTGTTTTCACATTGTGTTTCACAGTTAGAGTAACATTTCTGTAAGGTAGGTGTGATCAGTCCCACTTCACAGATGAGAAAACTGAGGTCCAGAGAAATTAAGTTATACTACTCAGGAAAAAGCACACTGGGACTTGATGCAAAGCATCCCACCTCCACATCTCTCTCTCTCTCTCTTTCTTTCTTAGGCTCATGCATAGAAGATTTCATAATCATTTCCAGGAATTGGTTATCTTTAGTCACCTAACTAGTTTATTACAATCCCGGCCTAATGAGGTATTTAAAAAAAAAGTTCAGAGAGCCGGAACTAGAGCTAAAAATTCAGGCACCAGCCCTGAGGTCCTTGTTGACATTTGTACAAAAGGAGCTCAGGTCTTTATTTGATGGAATGTCCATCTGTCTCAGGTTACTCAGGGCAAATGCATGACTCTAAGCCAACCACTCAGCTCTCTGCTAACACATCGGCGCTTTCTTCCTCTCCTCCAGTAGCCACTGTGGTCTGAGACATCCAGAATCAGTTTGATAACAGCATCAGTCAGACCCTAGAGGAAGATACCTCCACACAGAGACCCATAATGCACTTCAGCCAAGTTATTTGATTGTGCTCCCAGTGCAGATATCCCAGAGCTGAAAGCATGACTAACGTGGAATGGAGAATGGAGATTCTACTCAGAAAGAAACAAACCCTGCATTCAAGGCACAGCACCACCACAGTCTTCATTTTTCCTATGGCGACACAGCTTGGTTTACAGGCGCTGGCCTTCCCCTGCCAGCCTGCTCCCTTCACTGTCAGCAGGAAGATAAGCTGTGATCCTACTGCCTGCTCTCTAAAGGGCCAGTTGAAATCCATGTGGGCAGCAGAGAAGTGGCAGCCGCAGGAGATAACCCCAGGCTGCACCTCTGGAGGTACGTGCAGATCACCAGTGCCAATGCCCTGGGCCTGCAGGCCACTGTTTGCCTTCTGGACGTGTTACATCAAAGACATTGATTGAGGCTGGGCACCATGGCTCATGCCTGTAATCCCAGCACTGTGGGAGACTGAGGCAGGAAGATAACTTGATGCCAGGAGTCTGAGACTAGCCTGGGCAACATAACGAGACCTCATTTCTACAAACAACAACAACAAAAAGACATGCATTTGCTGAGTAGAATCTGAACTCTTCCATGTTCTGCCTTTGCCAACCTCTGGCCTTGTTCCCACTCCTCACTTATTTGCTACCTCAATCCAGATCTACCAGTTCTGCTGTGAGCACACAGGGTCATACAAAGGCCACTTCTCTCCCTGAGTGGCAAAGTTCTGGCTTCCTAATCATGAGTACTTTAGAGAGGAGGAAGAAAGCTAGGGCTACTGTGTCCCAAGGTGTTTTCTAGAATGCTCTGCAATATGTCTGAAGATACTGCATTTCATTGCAGATAAGAGTTCAAGAAAAAGAATTCAGGATGTGGCTTCTTTAGGGCCTGGCATGGGCTGATTAGTAAATGCAACTGATCTAAACATTTTAAGGGGCCAGCACTTTCTTCCCCTACCTCCACCAGGGGAGTACAGACAATTACAATATACATCACCAAACAGAAACAGACTCCCATTCTACAGATGGGAGCATTGAGGCTCAGATAAGCACAGGCTGCAGGGGATTACAGGGACTATTTTTCCAATCACTGCCTACCAGCCAGGCAAGGCTTGGGCCGAGAGCCAGGCTCAGACCAGGAACAAGGAAACAGCGAGTCTTCAGGAGGACCCCAATGGCTTA